TGCTGGTGTGTAGAATTTTTTGACATAGGGTGCTGGCAGATTATGGGCCTCCCATAGCTGCTGCCAGGCCCCTAATCTGCCATGGGCCCCTATATACCGCCTCCTCATGCTGCTGCCAGGTCCAGAGTGTGTCATGGGTCCCTGTACGGCCTCCCATTGCTGCTGTCTCATGCCATGTGCCATGTGCCACTTTCAGGTCTCCTCACACTGCTGGTGTGTTGAATTGACATAGGGTGCTGGCAGATTACGGGCCTCCCATTGCTTCTGCCAGGCACGTAATCTGCCATGGGCCCCCGTACCGACTCCTCATGCTGTGACGTTGCAACAAGGTGGAATTCAACCCTACATATGTTAGACCGCCTTTACGAACAGCGAAAGGCCATCACCGATTTCCTGATGTTAAAAGCGGATAAAGGTACTCCCTGTGTAACTTAGATGTCAGCCAATTGGCAGCTCATGCGTGACACCTGCGCTTGCTCAGGCCCTTTGAGGAGGCCACGCTATTCGTGAGTCGGCAGGACTATGGGATGAACGACGTCATTCCTCTGTTGCACGTCCTGGAACAAATGCTGTTAACAATGGCTGGTCAGGGTGCGGTAGACGTGGCGCACAGATCTCAACGCCACATGACCCCTGTGGGGGCAGGACAGGAAGAAGAGGAGGAGGTAGAGGAGGACATTGGTGCTCAGGAATTATTGAGTGAAATGGGTGGTTTTTCCACTCAGCGGACAGGAGTGGAGGAGCAGGAGCATCTGGTAGAGGAGGAGGAGGAGGAGACAGGAGGACCCAGACGCACCGTGGCAGTATGCTGTGGAGATGGAGGCAGGGAGTCCCTCGCATTCCTTGGCACAAATGGCCCATAGCATGCTCGTTGCTTGCGTAGCGACAGCCGAATAATAACCATCAGACAGAGGGATGACTTTTGGCTGTCCACCTTGTTGGACCCTCGCTACCGTTCAAAAATGGTGGCCTTTTTCACACCTGCTGAGAGGGAGGCCAAAATAACGTACTATAAAAACCACCTATGTAGTCAGCTGGTCTCTGCCTGTCTGCGCCAACGTCCATCCTCAGACACTGTGGGCCCTGTGCGCTCGCGTTCCGCTGCCATGGCAGCAGGGGAGGGGTGGGGTGGTAGGAGCAGTGGCAGCTCCACCAGCAGCGGCTGCCTCAGTCTGCAGTCGATGATGAGTAGCTTTCTTCACCAGCGCAGTGAGGAAACTACTAACCAGCCGAGCAGCAGCAGCAGCAGCAGCAGCATCAGGTGGACCTGGAGCAGGACCTCAAACAACAGGCTTAGGCCTACTTGGACAGCACCCTGCCAACCGAGGTAGACAATCCCCTTGACTACTGGGCAACGAAACTTGACCTTTGGCCCCAACTAGCTGAATTTGCCCTTGAAAGGCTGTCATGCCCGGCCAGTAGCGTGGCATCGGAGCGCGTGTTTAGTGCGGCAGGAGGTATTGCAACTCCGCGGAGGACACGACTGTCCACCCAAAGTGTGGAGAGACTGACGTTTGTGAAAATGAATCAGGCGTGGATTAGTCTGGATTTCAAACCACCAGTTCCTGACACAACTGACTAAATCCGCCATGAATCATGCCCCAAACATGTGCCACTTTCAGGTCTCCTCACACTGCTGGTGTGTTCCATTTTTTGTCATAGGGTGCTGGCAGATTACGGGCCTCCCATAGCTGCTGCCAGGCCCCTAATCTGCCATGGGCCCCTATACCGCCTCCTCATGCTGCTGCCAAGTCCAGAGTCTCTCATGGGTCCCTGTACGGCCTCCCATTGCTGCTGTCTCCATCGCCACACTCTGCCATGTGCCACTTTCAGGTCTCACACACTGCTGGTGTGTAGAATTTTTTGACATAGGGTGCTGGCAGATTACGGGCCTCCCATAGCTGCTGCCAGGCCCCTAATCTGCCATAGGCCCCTATATACCGCCTCCTCATGCTGCTGCCAGGTCCAGAGTCTGTCATGGGTCCCTGTACGGCCTCCCATTGCTGCTGTCTCCATCGCCACACTCTGCCATGTGCCACTTTCAGGTCTCCTCACACTGCTGGTGGGTTCCATTTTTTGTCATAGGGTGCTGGCAGATTACGGGCCTCCCATAGCTGCTGCCAGGCCCCTAATCTGCCATGGGCCCCTGTTGTCGCTTGTTGGCATATTCCGCTCGTTCAGATGCTCCTTCTCCTGCTACTCCTCTTCACGGATTCCGTCAGCAGTCTTTCTTGGAATCCGTTTCCAAGAGACAACAGTTTGCAGCACGCACCAGACGGTGCAGAAACTGAACGTCCTCCTGTCCAAGTTGCTGCTGCCAGGCTCGTAATCTGTCATGCGCCCCTGTACCGCCTCCTCATGCTGCTGCCAGGTCCAGAGTGTGTCATGGGCCCCCGTACCGACTCCAAATGCTGCTGCCAGGCCCGTAATCTGTCATGGGCCCCTGTACCGCCTCCCCATGCTGCTGCCACGTCCAGATTGTGTCATGGGTCCCTGTACGGCCTCCCATTGCTGCTGCCAGGCCTGTAATCTGCCATGGGCCCCCGTACCGACTCCTCATGCTGCTGCCAGGCCCGTAATCTGCCATGGGCCCCTGTACCGCCTCCTCATGCTGCTGCCAGGTCCAGAGTGTGTCATGGGTCCCTGTACGGCCTCCCATTGCTGCTGTCTCTATCGCCACACTCTGCCATGTGCCACTTTCAGGTCTCCTCACACTGCTGGTGGTTTCCATTTTTGTCATAGGGTGCTGTATGGCCTCCCATTGCTGCTGCCTCCACCGCCACACTGTGGCTCCACACTCTGGTTTTGGCCCCGTGACTGGCCAAATGAGTGAAGTGTGCGGTGATTCTAAGATCGACGGCACTCATCTGCATGTCATACTGCCTGACAGTATTATTTCTCTTCCCCAGCAGACTCCAAGGGCATTTAAATTAAAGGTACAGTGTTCAGCACTAATATTAAGTCTCTCTGAAGCCTAGAAACACCCTTTTTTAAGTTAAATTCACAGCGAATATATCAACTCGAATCGAAATTTTTCTACGAATTCGCCGAATCCTCACAACAATATTTTGATCTCACTTTTTGTCATTACGTATCGGCCCCAGCATGCTTCATTTTCTCTTTCCACCATTTCTAGGTGGCTCAGGCAGACTTATGATTTCAAGGATCAGATTCCACCTTTCCTGTTATGGCTCACTCTACTAGATCTGTGAGCTCCTCTTGCCCTTTTCAGCATCAGACAGCTGATTTCCAGATTTGAAAGGCTGCCACTTGGTCTTCACTTCACGTGTTCTCTACCAGGTGGTTATTTCTGCCTCATCCAATGCCAGCTTCAGGACTAAAGTCCTTCAGGCGGCTCTCTGTGCTGCAGGTAGTCCCTAGTTTCTGTTGCTTTTGTTGGTCGTGTTAGCAGTTGTTTGCTATATTTCCCATGCCTCAGTTGGCTTGCTTTTGGATGAGAGAAAGATTTAAGCCTTCCCATGTCCCCCTATGGATGAGAATGAAAAGTGTTTCTGTACTTGTCGTAAATACCTTTTCTTTTGGAGTCCATTGAGGGATACAGGTCCCACCGCTTTGTATTTATGATCAGGCTGGCAGCACTGCTTTGGTACAAAATTGAGGAATGCTGATTTTAGGAGAGGTTATCCTGGGATGACCTACAGTTTTTTGTTTAAAAAATATCAGAATCTGCGTTGGTTCACAAAGACATAAGCTACCAGCACTAATTTCTGATATAAGGAATTGGCAAAACACACATATAAAAGTGCAAATACAGTGTATTACTCACAAAACATAGGTGCAACCAAAATGTGACAAATAATATAAAAGAGAAAACAACACTGTGAAGGTGAATAACTAAGTCCCAGTGTCAGAGGACACTAAAAAATGTCCTTGAGTGCCAATCATAAATCTTCAGTTGCTTAGGTGATCAAACGTATTCAAGTGAAATATGTGTCACCCCACTCAATGCTCATGGAAGGCTTACCAGATAAATTTGACCATCATATTATAGAATGGTCAAATTGGTCACAGATAAAATCCTATGGCAACCGCTCCAGCCTCCTCCACAGCCTCCAACTATAGGTCAAATGGCTTTCACCCACTCCATATGGATCATCGGTATCAGGCATATAAAAGGCATGTGCATGGAATAAAAAAGCTTCCCATAGTGTGAAATCTTTTATAAAATGTATTTAGATATTTTTGGTTAAATGTTTGATTATATTGGAGGGTCCCATATCTATCTGCTAAGTCCAATTTTTCTCATCTCCTTACTTAATGTTTGTGTCATTTATTTTACAAATGATTCTTATTCGAGAATTTATCATTTTCTCACCAGTTTGTATTGTTGATCTGTATGTTTGCTTTTTTCAATAAAAAAAATGTAAATATAAAATTTATTTAAACCAAAGTAGTGCACTTACATGAATAAAAATCAAATACAGTGCTGTATAATAGCAAAGGTCTGCGCGTTCCCACTTCCAAAATGGGCGCTGTTGTGCACGTGTGCGTGGTGATGTACGCCCTAGCTCCACCCAATGTGTTTTGTTGGTGAACTCCATTTGACCTGTGGAGGAGGCTGGAGCGGTTGTCATAGGATTATATCTGTGCCCAATTTGACCATTCTATAATATGATGGTCAAATTTTATCTAGTAAGCCTTCCTTGAGCACTGAGTGGGGTGACACTTGTTTCACTTGAATACATTTGATCATTTAAGCAATTAAAGATTTATGATTGCACTCAAGGACATTTGTTAGTGTCCTCTGACACTGGGACTTATTTATTCACCTTCACAGTGTTTTTTGTTTTCACCTTTGTTATTTGTCACATTTTGGTTGCACCAATGTTTAGTTAGGGCAGTACTCTGTATTTGCACTTTCAGCACTGCACTTTTATATGCAAGTTCTTTTTGTTTGCCTGTATCCGATCATCCTGTAGACGGCAGTATAAACTGAATGTGAACAGCCTGTAACTTGTGCTGTCTTTGTGTTCTTCTAGGGACGTCAGGCGCTTAGTGGTAGCAATGTCTAGAGCCCGACTTGGTCTGTACATATTCGCTCGAGTCTCCCTCTTCCAGAACTGCTTTGAATTGACCCCTGCATTCAGTCAGCTTACTGCTCGTCCACTGCGGCTGCACATTTTACCTAGTGAAACCTTCCCAACACAGAGGATGGTAAGTAATATTTATATCTGATATGCTCTAGCACTGCATAGAAGAAATGACTATGCTAGGAGACCTTACAAGTTACTCCTCTGTACTCCCAAATACCAGGTCATTGAGATCTTGAGTTTGGGAAACCCCCTAGCTACTTGTGCTTCAACAGCTGGTTACTCTTCTCAGAATAATGACCACAGATGGAACTAACAGAGCTTGGTTGGGATCTAAATCACCAGTAAGAATCTGGACTCTATCGGGACTGTTTTTTGGAAGCAAGAAAAAGTGTATTGTTTTATAGGGTTTTTTTTAGTTAACTTGTCAATTAGATTAACACGATGGTAACATTTTTCTCAGTATGTGTTAATGTTTTACCCTCTTCAACTCTTGTGCCTGTAAATCTCCTATATAGCATTTCTTTTTTTCATTTCCACTGTAGGCCTTTTTAATCAGCAATAATATTGTAGTTTCTTAAGATAACAAAGTAATAGATATTTTTTTTGGGGGGGTGGGCAAACAAGGTTTTTATTTGGTGTTATTTTCTATTAATACATTTATTTTCTATAAAATCTATACTTTTAGTTCTCCCAATCACAGAACACTGTGAATAAATTATGTGGCTGTGTGGGCAGAGCACTGGACAGCCACACCATTTTCAAATTGTGACAAGATCCCCCACCTTCTGTCGGTGGGGGGGGAAGTGTATGGGGACTGTGAAGGGCAGGACTGGAGCATGTTACACCCTAAATATGGTTGTCCATGTTCAAAAAGATAAACCTATCCTTTACGTACCAGTAGAGATGAGGTCTTCTAACGATGGCAAAGCCATGAGAGTACAGCTTGGCAGAATGAAGCATTTTTCTCTATTTAACGTCAGGTCGATCTTGTTGCAATTCTATGGAATCCGACTCCGAGGAACAACTGTTTAGTGGCTTATGAGAAAGTATTTTCATACAATTTTCAGACTTCTGCTGAACTGGTTTCCCCAGTGATGCTAGGAAAATAGAGACACAGAAATACATTTTCCAGTTTCATACTGTGCTTACATTTCTTTAAGTTGTTCTATTCTTCCATTGCAGTTACTAGAACAGAAAACACACATTTCTTTGTACTGCATATAAGTGCGTATGCTAATAAGTCCTAGCTAATGCCTTGCGTTCTATTTACAGAATGGTGTGATGCCACCTTACCCAGCCCAGGCTATCAAAAACATGCCAGAGATGGCTATGTTTGTGTATGATATGTATATGCACATGATGCGCACCAGTCAGCAGTACCAGTACCGCCAGGTAAGTGGAGATGGATCATCCCTTTACATACCTCACATACATTTCTTATATTGTAACAGTCTATTTTTTAAATTATGCAATTCCTGTCCACCAGGTGAATATTTCTAACAATATGCAAACTTGATATACATATGTTAAAGGTATGGTAAAATATCAGACCTCTAGTTTTGGTTCAGTTTATTGATATCCTATATTTGTCTAGGGAATCCAGGAATTAAGATATGAGTATCTAAGCCTGTCCACCTGTATGGGTACTTTTTATTGGACTCTTTATTCTATATTGTATACAAAGTAGAATAATGTCCGTGAGAGGGGACAGAGCTGAAAAGTTAGGAAGTCTTACTGCTGGATAAAACCTCTTCATAGATCAAAATCTAGGTAGGTAAGCACACTGCATAAATGTGGTTGACAACTGCCATAGCAAGTGCATGAAAAATCACGTACACATAAAGAATAAAGAATATTACTACAGTCAGGTCCATAAATATTGGGACATCGACACAATTCTAACATTTTTGGCTCTATACACCACCACAATGGATTTGAAATGAAACAAACAAGATGTGCTTTAACTGCAGACTGTCAGCTTTAATTTGAGGGTATTTACATTAAAATCAGGTGAACTGTGTAGGAATTACAACAGTTTGCATATGTGCCTCCCACTTGTTAAGGGACCAAAAGTAATGGGACAGAATAATAATCATAAATCAAGCTTTCACTTTTTAATACTTGGTTGCAAATCCTTTGCAGCCAATTACAGCCTGAAGTCTGGAACGCATAGACATCACCAGACGCTGGGTTTCATCCCTGGTGATGCTCTGCCAGGCCTCTACTGCAACTGTCTTCAGTTCCTGCTTGTTCTTGGGGCATTTTCCCTTCAGTTTTGTCTTCAGCAAGTGAAATGCATGCTCAATCGGATTCAGGTCAGGTGATTGACTTGGCCATTGCATAACATTCCACTTCTTTCCCTTAAAAAACTCTTTGGTTGCTTTTGCAGTATGCTTTTGGTCATTGTCCATCCGCACTGTGAAGTGGCGTCCAATGAGTTCTGAAGCATTTGGCTGATTATGAGCAGATAATATTGTCAGAAACACTTCAGAATTCATCCTGCTGCTTTTGTCAGCAGACACATCATCAATAAATACAAGAGAACCAGTTCCATTGGCAGCCATACATGCCCACGCCTTGACACTACCACCACCATGCTTCACTGATGAGGTGGTATGCTTAGGATCATGAGCAGTTCCTTTCCTTCTCCATACTCTTCTCTTCCCATCACTCTGGTACAAGTTGATCTTGGTCTCATCTGTCCATAGGATGTTGTTCCAGAACTGTGAAGGCTTTTTTAGATGTCGTTTGGCAAACTCTAATCTGGCCTTCCTGTTTTTGAGGCTCACCAATGGTTTCCATCTTGTGGTGAACCCTCTGTATTCACTCTGGTGAAGTCTTCTCTTGATTGTGGACTTTGACACACATACACCTACCTCCTGGAGAGTGTTCTTGATCTGGCCAACTGTTGTGAAGGGTGTTTTCTTCACCAGGGAAAGAATTCTTCGGTCATCCACCACAGTTGTTTTCCGTGGTCTTCCGTGTCTTTTGGTGTTGCTGAGCTCACCGGTGCGTTCCTTCTTTTTAAGAATGTTCCAAACAGTTGTTTTGGCCACGCCTAATGTTTTTGCTATCTCTCTGATGGGTTTGTTTTGTTTTTTCAGCCTAATGATGGCTTGCTTCACTGATAGTGACAGCTCTTTGGATCTCATCTTGAGAGTTGACAGCAACAGATTTCAAATGCAAATAGCACACTTGAAATGAACTCTGGACATTTTATCTGCTCGTTTTATTTGGGATAATGAGGGAATAACACACACCTGGCCATGGAACAGCTGAGAAGCCAATAGTCCCATTACTTTTGGTCCCTTAACAAGTGGGAGGCACATATGCAAACTGTTGTAATTCCTACACCGTTCACCTGATTTGGATGTAAATACCCTCAAATTAAAGCTGACAGTCTGCAGTTAAAGCACATCTTGTTTGTTTCATTTCAAATCCATTGTGGTGGTGTATAGAGCCAAAAATGTTAGAATTGTGTCAATGTCCCAATATTTATGGACCTGACTGTACATCTGTGATTATAATGCAAAGTTAAAAAGTTACCCCCCCATACCCACTTGAGCAATGCTTACCAGCTTGTGTTTTTACAATGATCACTATGAAGGTCGGACCTTAGAAGTGTTTTGGAGCTTGCACAGATGTCCTAAATGGTGATAGGCTGCAATGTTTTATGTTGCATTATGGAATGAGTCCTGTTTAGATGTGCCTGTTCTGTACAAGTGGAATCCCAAATCCATAGATCTTCTAAGTGTTCTTTAAAACCACCGGGTAGTAAGCAATCCCTCCACTAGACCGTATACAGAGCAGCTTACCAAAAATTAAGACATCTAGATTAGAGGAGGTCTTAATAAGCTTAATGATTCTAAGCAACTGGACCACTGACTCTACATGGTAGCTTTGAAAAACATTTAGTAAATCTGTGTATTTGGTATCCCACTCGAGTGTATTTGACAGCTCAATAACTGCTTATATCGGCTGCAAGATTTTTACAGTGCCACTTATTTTCTTGTTTATACTGAATGTTCAGTATGTGGTTTGTGTGTACAATTCAAATAAGTGTGGAGCTTTACTACTGAGGATTTTAGAAAGTATGGGTTTGTTATTAACAGTTACTCTGTAAAAGAGACCAGTCATATGGTCTGGTATTTACATTACAGGAGGTCTGCACTATTGCAAGCCCTCTTCTGGCTCTTTTGCACCTTATTAGCTTGATTGGAATGTTTTTGTATGTGGGGTTATGTGCTGCAAACAGTGAAACATTAAAATCAGATATTTTTCTGTTACCATACCCCTATCCCCTTTTGCTTATGTCAAGAAAAACAAATTAAAGGTAGCAATATCCAGAGCAGAGGTAGGCAATTTAATTTTTCCAAGGGGCCACATGAGAAACTGGGACTGTTGTGGAGGGCCTTTAGTGTATAGTAAAATAATATTTTGATTAAGGCTCCATTCACACTTGTGCAACTCCAAAGTACTTTAGAGTACAACTTTGATCCGACATTACATTATCTGGGCCTAAATTGCATCAAAGTAGTGCAGGCACCTTTTCAAAATCGTTGCGACTTTACGTCGCACAGATCCTAACAGTTCCTTTGAAATTAATGGGCTGCACCTTTTCATGTCCAAGGTCGCATGACAAGTCACACAAGTTTGAATGGAGTCTTATCCAGCAGACTTGGGTAAACAACATTGGACTTGGAAGGTCCATAAACTCCTGGCTCTAGGAATAGGTACATGAAATAGTGTGCACACTTACGATTATTAAAAGCATAGTTACATAGTTAGTCTGGCTGAAAAAAGACAAAAGTCCATCTAGTTCAACCATAAAAAAAAAAGTTATAATCCTATATCCACAGTTGATCCAAAGGAAGGCAAAAAAACACAGCAAAGCATGATCCAATTTGCTCCTGCAGGGGAAAAAAAGTTCTTCATGATCCCCTGAGAGGCAATTGCATATTCCCTGGATCAACTTTACCTATAAATTCTAGTATCCAGTTATATTCTGTGTATTTAGGAAAGAATCCAGGCCTTTTTTAAAGCCATTTACTGAGCTGGCCTGAACTAACTCTTGAGGGAGTCTATTCCACATTTTCACAGCTTTTACTGTGAAGAAACCTTTCCATATTTGGAGATTAAATCTCTTTTCCCCCAAATGTAAAGAGTGCCCCCTTGTCCTCTGTGATGACCTCAGGGTGAATAGCTCTACACCGAGTTCACTATATGAACTACTGATGTATTTAGACATGTTGATCATATCCCCCCTTTCTCTCCTCTTCTGAAGAGAGAATAAATTCATTTCCTCTCTTCTTTCCTCATAGCTGAGCTCCTCCATGCTTCTTATCAGTTTAGTTGCCCTTCTCTGTACTTTCTCCAGTTCCCCAATATTCTTTTTGTGAATTGGTGCCCAAAATTGAACTGCATATTCCAGATGAGGTTTTACTAATGATTTGTACCGGGGTGATATGATATCTCTCTCTGGAGTCTATACCTCTTTTAACACAAGAGAGGATTTTGCTCGCTTTAGAAACCGCAGCTTGGCATTGCATGTCATTATTAAGCTTGTGATCTACCAGAACCCCCAGATCCTTCTCCACCATTGATTCCCTCAGTTGTACCCCCCCTAGTATGTATGATGCATGCATATTCTTAGCCCCCAAGTGCATAACCTTACATTTATCAACATTAAACCTCATTTGCCACATAGTTGCCCAATTGAACAGTGCATTGATCAGCAAAAGCAGTAGTGAAGAAATATCCTCTGCTGACCTGCTGGTCACAATGTTGGTGTAGGGCAAGCTGGTAAAAGCAGCGAGGGAGCAGACAGGCGCAAGGGTTAAAGTGGAACTACACTCCCTCAACCAACTTTAACTATTTTTAATCCTCAAGTATGTCATATTTACTTGTTTTAACTAGGCAAATGATGTAATACATTCCAGGAGTATTCAGGAAAGGTGGATGGGTTTTTTCTCAGTTAAAGTGGTTGTAAAGGCTCAAGGTTTTCTACCTTTATGCATTCTATGCATGAAGGTAAAAAAAAATCTGTGTGCAGCAGTGCCCCCCCCCCTCCCTCTAAATACTTACCTGAGCCCCATTGAGATCCAGGGACGTGCATGACAGCCTCTCCATGACTGCCTCAGCTGTCCCAGGTCTCTTCCTCCTCATTGGCTGAGACAGCAAGTGAATAGGGGGGGTAGGGCCAAGCCGTAGTTCTGTGTGGGAATGGATACATGGAGCAGAGGGTGCCCCCATAGCAAGCTGCTTGCTATGTAGGCACCCGACAGAAAGGAGCCTGTGTGCCTGAGCTAAGGGCAGATGAATTACAGGAAGTAAATGCTACATTAATCATCTAGAATCATCTAGCCTTACTCAAGATGGAAAAGGCCTGCAAA